CCAGAATTGAACCGGCAACTTTTCAGTGTGCAAAACGATGCTCAACCGAGTCACTCCAGTGGGCTATTCTTAATAGTTTTTGAGTGTGTGCCTAGAGATTTTATAATGTAAATCACTATGATATCTGTAAGGCAACTGAATTTCTATTTTCAACAACATAAAAAATAAAAGATTTTGGAAAATGGGATGTATATGAAAACTCAATATACTTAATACGTTGGCATAAAACTTCTAATTATTTATATATTTGAATGGCTTTATTGAGGTACAATAGACATGCCATATAATGCATCCCTTTAATGTGTACAATTCAATGATTTTCAGTATACTCACAGACACAAGCGTCACATTTTTTAATGTTTCTGTAGTCTCAGTAAGAACCCCTGTACCCTTTAACTATCAATTCTCCATCTTTTCATGTTCCACCTCAAAGCCACAGTCCTCTAATCTTTCTGTTTCTATAGAATTCCCTATTCTGAATTTACATATGAATAGAATCATATAATATGCTGTCTTGGTAATTTAAGCTCAGTAACTTAGCTTAATTTTTTCAAGAAACATCTATTAAGTAGAATGTATGGATACTTCATTTCTTTTTTCTTTTTTTTAAATATATCTTTATTGATTTCAGAGAGAGGAAGGGAGAGGGAGAGAGAGAAACATCCATGATGAGAGAGTCGTCATTGATCGGCTGCCTCCTGCACGCCCTCGACTGGGGACTGAGCCTGCAACCCTGGGGATCAAGCCCGCAACCCGGGCATGTGCCCTGACCAGGAATCGAACCTTGATTTCCTGGATCCTAGGTCGAAGCTCAACCGCTGAGCCACGCCCGGCAGGGTAACCTCAGTTCTTTTTACAGCCAAATAATATTCCATTGTACTAATAAAGCACAATGTGTTTATTCATCTATTAATAGTCATTTGGTGTGTTTCCAGCTTTTGGCTATTCTGAATAATGTTGCAAAAAGCCTACATGTACAAGTTTTTGTTTGGACATATATTTTTATTTGGGCATATACCTCGGAATGAAATGCTGGGTCCTATGTAATTCTAGCTTTAATTTTTGAGGACCTACCAGGCTGTTTTCCTAAGTGACTACGGTACCATTTTATAATCCTACCAGCAGTGACTAAGGGTTCCAATTTCCATATTCTCCACAGAATGAATTATTATCTCACTCTTTGATTCCAGCCATCATGGTGGTTGTGATATATTTTACTGGGGTTTTGACTGGGATTTCCTTGATAACTAGTGATTTCTAGCATCTTTCTGTGTATTCTTGCCCATTCGTACATCTTCCTTGGGAAAATGTCTATTTACATCCTTTTATTTTTTAATTTTTTTACAGAGTACAACAAAATCAGTCGCTTTTATTTAAAAGAAACATTAAAAAGTGTGCGAAATTAAATTTCACAATACACATAAAAGGAACATGCATACTTTGCATTGAAACCCACATACAAAGTTAGTTGATTACATAGCAAAAGGGAGAACTTGCTGCTGCAGGTTTTAAATGTTTGCAACCTGAAATCAAAACCATAAATTATGTTTCTTTAAAGGGAAATTAAGAAAATCAAATATAGACCTCAAGTAGTAGTAACAACATTGACCCCATAACCTATTTTAGTTACCAAGTGCTAAAAAAATTGTTATTATGTGCCTTTCATTCTCAAAACGTTCGTGTGCAGCTCTTGTTATAAATACTGGGGAGAGAAAAGGTGGTGAGACAGGGAAGTGGAAACAGCCGTCTAAGGCAACTGGCTGCACTTTGTTGAGATGTCAGATGTTCCCTTCAAATCCTCTAAATTAAGTGACTCTTTCTTCTATGACTAATTTTTAAAGTCTACCCATTACTCTGTTCCTTGCACATAAGAGTGAAACTCAGTTTTCACCAGGAGTTTCACCAGGAGACCCCAGGCGATGCACAAAGTGCCCTACTCACTGGCTAGGCCCGGCTTTTGCCTCAATTCCAACCTCTCCAGCCGAGAGACAAGAGGTCAGCACATACACACACACGACCAAACCACAGGGTCACAACAGGCACTCAGAGAACCACGCCCTGGGACTCACAAAGGAAATGCCCACCTGTGCTCTCTAACACAGCTGTGTCTCTTCATGTTCAGGAGAAAATTCCTACCTCCTTTTCTAAGGCAAGCTGCTGGCATTATTCTATTTAAATCTGGTTATAATGTAAGAACTAACATTTACACATCTATTCATCTCCCCATTATAAACTCAGTGAAAACGATGGAATCTGTTGCCAATAACAAATTTCAATTTGTCCACCCTTTTCTCAACCTAGTCCCTAAGTTTGTATGGAGCCCGGGCTGTAGGTGCGAGGAAGTGGTGAATCATTAAAGCTGGTGTCCAGTCGCAGTTGAACTACAGGCAACAAGGCAGGAGTCCCACCAGGCTGCTCAGAGCCACCTGAGTGTCTGTGGTGCTTCAATGATTATTCTTCCTTTAATACTGGAAATTCGAAGCCTTCTTAGGAAAACAGACTACCGATATGGCTTCGAGACTAAGGTCCCTGGGCAGTCCCTCCAGCCCATCACCCACAAGGCCCAAGAGTGCAGGGACTTTGAGCCACATGCTCAGCACTTTGGGGTGCCCTGAGCTGTGGGTGTTGATTGCACTCCTGGCGAGGAGTCTCAGTTTGTCCTGGGTCATTTCTAGAAAACGCATGCAGACATCCTCCCCCTTGGGGCTGAACAGGAATTTTTAGTAGCTGTAGGCTGCACAAATTGCAATGACAGCATTTGGCTCTGGTCCAGGGGCACAAATGCAAGAAGAGTCTGGGGGAACCCGAAACTTGGAAAAACTTCACTTGGAACTGAAGTATTTTGGAAGGAAACTGGCTGAAGCCAAACTAGACTGTTTATTCCTTTTTGGATCTTCAGCAGCAGAAATGTGCACTGTGCCGTGGTCACTGAATATGCAGATGAGGGATGAGTCCTGATTGAAGTTAATACAGTAAATATTAGCTGCTTGAGATCCTTTGTAGTTCCTGGATTAAATGCCCTGATGAAGTATTAAATATTCTTATAAGGGTCCTTTTTCAGATTCAGTTGCAATTCTTGTTCCCTGCAGGTTGAGAGTAACTCAGCTCAGAAGGCCCTGGTGGGCAAGAATGTCCACGGAGGCTTCTTGGCGCTGGCCGGGTCCATGAGCTGCACGTGGCCCCTATATGTGCCCGAGGAAGGCCAGGAGGGAGGTTGTTACTATTCGGGCACAGGACACAGAGGCCTTTAGGGTTATAGCACGTTTCAAAGACGTGCAGTTGGTAGGGATTGTATGTGAATGTAAACACGTTAATCATAGAATCCAAAACAACCACAATTCTCTCTCCCGCAATTTGACTGCTTTGACTGCTGTAGAAAATTCTATTTCAGTAAGTCCTCTTTTTCAGGTCTTCCCAGATCATCACTTTTTTGGGAGGGTATTTTGGCTTTTTTCCACCACCAGCTAAAGCTAAATAGTTGCAGCAGGATAACATTTCAACATGGCCAACTCCTCCTTCCAGAAACTCTTGATTTTTTTGCTTTTAGTGGATAGTGTTATAGACTCGGAATCCACTTTCCATCCCACATGCAAAGCATCAGTGGTCCTGCTTGAAGCCAGCATAGAGCAACTCATCCTGCAACATTTTAAAATCGGGTAATTTGAGTTTTTTATTATTGAGTTGTAAGAGTTCTTTATATATTTTTGATACATATCCCTTACTAGATATATGATTTGCAAAATTTTCTTTCATCCTCTGGGCTGTGATTTCACTCTTTTGGTTTGACATTTTTACATTAATTGTAATCTGTTCTCAAGTTCACATGGAACATTCACCAAGCTGGAACATATCATGGGACATAAAACAAATCTTAATTTGAAAGAACAGAAATCACAAAATATGCTCTCACATCACAGAGGTATTACTCTAGCAATCAATAGCAAGTTAGATGGAAAATCCCCAAATGTGTGGTCATTCAACAAGACACTTTTAAATAATATATGGAATTTAAAAAGAAGTCTCAAGAGAAATAAAAAGTTTATTTTGAACTCCATGAAAAATACACCATAAAAATTTGTGAGATGCAGCAAAGGCTAATGCCCAATGTTCCCTTATGTCACCAAACAAACACATTAGCAAAGAGAAAAACCTATAATCATTAATATGAACATCCAACATACAATATTATAAAAGAGCTAATTAAACCCAAAGTAAGCAGTTTAAAATAAAAATTAGAAAAGTAATCCATGTAATTGTGGGAAGTCTATTTAAGATGTTAAAACAAAATTAGCTGTTTCTTTGACCAAATGAATAACCAAACAGCTATTAAATATAACTAAGAGGGAGGTAGGCCCTGGCTGGTGTTGCTCAGTGGTTAGTGTCCGCCCGCACACCGAAGGGTTTCTGGTTCGATTCCTGGTCACGGGCACATACCTGGGTTGCAGGTTTGATACCCAGCCTGGTATCCACCCCTGTGGGAGGCAACCAATGGACATCTCTCTCACTTCCATGTTTCTCTCTCTCTCATTCTCTCCTCCCCTGCCTTCTACTCTCTCTAAAAATCAATGGCCTGGGGGGGGGGGGATAGCCTTGGTGAGGATTAACAAAAAAAAAGGAAACAGCATGATATATTTTTAAAAATTGTTTTTATTCAGAGTATTTATTTTTTATTTTTAAATGTTATTTTTGTTTAAAATATTACAGATGTCCCTTTTTCTCCCCAATGACCCGTTCCACCCCATCCCATCCCCCTCCCCATTCCCTCTCCCCACTATTGTCCGTGTCCTTGGGTTGTGCATTTATGCATATAAATTCTTTGGTTACTCTCTCCCCCTCACCCACCCACCCTCCTCCATCCCTCTGACATTCGTCAGTCTGATCCATGCTTCCATGTCATGAATCTATTCTGTTCATCAGTTTATTAAGTTCTTTAGATTCCACACAGAGTATTTCCAGTGTGAATTCTTTTATATCTTTGATACAAATTAAGGCAAGTGAATCCTTTCCCACATTCCTTGCATTGATAAGGTGTTATTTAAGTATGCATTTTCATGTGTCTTTGAAGGGATTTTTGAGAAATAAAGGCTTTACCACAATGTTTACATTCAAAGGGCTTCTCTCCAGTATGAGTCCTTTCATGAGTTTGTAAGGAACTGCAAGATATGAAGGACTTTCCACATTGCTTACATTCATAGGGTCTCTCTCCACTGTGAATTCTTTCATGTATTCGAAGATTACTGGGATATCTGAATGCTTTACTACATTTTTTACATACATAGGGTTCCTCTCCTTTGTGAGTCCTCTTGTGCATTTGTAAAGAACTGGAATATCTGAAGGATTTTTCACATTCCTTACATCTGTAGGGTTTCTCTCCTGTGTGAGTTCTTTCATGTGTTTGTAAGTTACCAGAAGATCTGAAGGCTTTTCCACATTCTTTACATTCATAGGGTTTCTCTCCTGTGTGAGTCCTTTCATGTGTTTGTAAGGAATTAGAAAACCTAAAGGCTTTTCCACATTCCTTACATTTATATGGTTTTTCTGCAATATGAGTTCTTTCATGTTTTCGAAGATAATTGGGAGCACTGAATGCTTTACCACAATGTTTACACTCATAGGGTTTCTCTCCAGTGTGAGACCTTTCATGTATTTGTAAGGACCTATAATTACTGAAGGCTTTTCCACATTCCTTACATTCATAGGGTTTCTCTCCTACATGAGTTCTTCTGTGTGGCTGTAATGCACTGTAAGATCTGAAGGCCTTTCCACATTCCTTACATTCATAAGGTTTCTCATCAGTGTGGGTTGTTTCATGTATTCGAAGGTAACTGGGATACATGAATGCTTTACCACATTTTTTACATTGATAAGGTTTCTCTTCAGTGTGATTTCTTTCATGTCTCTGAAAACTTTTATAACATCTGAAGGCTTTTCCACAGTGTTTACATTGATAGGGCTTCTCTCCTGTGTGGGTTCTTTCACATATTTGCAGTGAAGCTGAAGAACTAAAAGTTTTTGCACACACCTTACATTTATAAGGAGCATCTACAGTATGTGTGATCATGTGTTTTTGAAGGGTTTTGAGCCACATGAACGTTTTCCCACATTCCTCACATTTATAGGGTTTCTCAACATTGTGATTTTGTTCATGTTTTTCAAAACATTGAAGATAAGTGAAAGCTCTTCCACATATGTTACATTTATATGGTTTCTCTCCATATTTATGATACTCAGATGGCTTGTGTCCAGTGTGGCAGCTGGTGTGCCTATTACTAGATGAATGATCCATGAAGAATTTCCCACACACACTGTATTCCCATGGTTTTACTGCAGGAAAAGTCTTCTTCTTCACATTAAGATTTGTAATAAAGCTGAAGTTTTCTCCATGTTGACTACTTTTTTCTCCTTTACAGAGTTTCTCTACCATTTGAATTCTGTAAAAAACAAGCACATTATTAGTGACTTATATATTAGTGATTTTATATATTTATTAGGAGAATATTTGAAGTATATTTTTATAATTTATAGCAAAATATTAGATATTCTGCTTTATCAATATTGTTTGAAATAGAATACACTGAAAATTCTAAAAGACAACTTTACCTTGCAATTATCAAAACAGTGACATTCATATGTAGGGTTTATTAATGCTGTTTTTATGTGAACTAGTTTGCAACGGTGAAGATCTATGTCATATATAAGAACATAATTTGGTGAAAATTTCTGAAAAGTAATTAATTTGAAGCAGAGGTTGTTTTGTTTGCTTCTTTTTAAAATTTTGTAGCATAATGGTTTTTTATGTTAAACCCTGCTTTCTATTGTGTGACTCACCTTTGTTTTCTTCCCTGGTTTTTGTACTGATCTTCCATATCAACATCTTTGCATTTTTTACCTATAATGCAGACACACAGAAATCATTCCAAAGTATTAGAAACTATAGAAAAATTATTAGATTTTAATTCTATAATTAGCTGTGACCATGCGCAGTTAATTTACCAATGTCCTCCCTTCACACATTACACTTTTTTTTAAATCCTCACCCGAGGATTTTTTTTTTTCCCATTGCTTTTCAGAGAGAGTGGAAGGGTGAGAGAGAGAGAGAAAAAGGGGATGGGACATCGATGTGAGAGAGACACATTGACTGGTTGCCTTCCACATGCACCCTGACCGGAGCCAGAGATTGAGCCTGCAACCGAGGTACATGCCTTGGTTGGAATCAAACCCGGGACCCTTCAGTCCGTGGGATGATGCTCTAACCAGTAAGAAAAACTGGATAGGGCCCACATTACACATCTAGAACATTGCTGAAGGGTAAGAAATGTTTGTCCTCTAATTGAGGAAGTGAAGGTAACTTGTCATCCTTACCTATGGAAACCAGGTTCCAGAAGGTTTCCCTCATCACATCTCTGTAGAGTTTCTTCTGTGAAGGATCCAGTAAAACCCACTCCTCCAAACTGAAGTTCACAGCCACATCCTCAAAGGCCACTGAGTCCTAAAACATCCCAATACGTGTAGAGTAGGATGTGTGAGACTATCAGCACTGGACCCCCAGGCTTCATTTATTGGAAGGTTACATACATATGATTCTATTATCTCCAAACGTTTATGCTATGAGTTAAACATCAAAAATTTATTTTCTATCAACACCTAACTCCTTATATGATTAACACCATCATAAACAAGTAAAAATTAGCAACACATTTTTACTCTAATCCCATTACATCATATTTTTGGCTAATGGCAGGGTTCAGATGCTAGGAAATGACAGAACTGCTACACAAATAAAACAAATGTTATTATTTTAAAACCATCAGTTCCTTGTGAAAAAATCCTTTCATCTCTCTACTTATTACCTATTTACAGCACCCCATGAAACCTCATCTGCATGAGGTTTCGATGAATAAAAACAAAGTGAAGAACTGGAAGCTTTTTCTTCTATTCTCATCACCAAAAACAAACAGTCCCAGAGGCTTGTAGAATTCCAACTATAACAAAGTCTAACTGGCAATACTGTCCTAAAGTTCTCCAGACTGTTAGAGAACAGACATACTTTGTTTATTGAGCCTCGATTTATTGCATTTGGCAGATACTGTGTTTTCATCAATATGGAGATAAGAACCTCCACCAGCAATAAGATTACAACTTCCTGAAGGCTCAGATGATGGTGAGCATATTTTTTTCCATTGATTTTTAGAGAGAGTGGACAGCAGAGAGGGAAGTAGGGGGAAAGAGAGAGAAAGAGAGGGGAGGAGAGAGAGAAACACTTAGCCACACTGGCCAGGGCAATAAAGTATTTTTTTTAAATATATATTTTATTGATTTCAGAGAGAGGAAGGCAGAGAGAGAGAGATAGAAACATCAATGATGAGAGAGTCGTTAATCAGCTGCCTCCTGCACGCCCTTGAATGGGGATCGAGCCCACAACCCAGGCATGTGCCCGGACCAGGAATCGAACCTTAATCTCCTGAATCCTAGGTCAATGCTCAACCACTGAGCCACGCCTGGCCAGGCAGTATTTTTTAATTAAAGCATGTACACTGACATTATAGACATATAGTATTGCACACTTAACAGACTGAAGTATCATGTAAATAGAACTTCTTTATATACTGGGAAACCACAAAAATTGTAGAATTGATTATTGACTCATACACTTTACTGTGATGGTCTAGAACTGAATGCGCAGTATCTCCTCGGTATGCCTATAATCTGAGGCAGCTGGCTGACTAAAAATATTCTTGTGGGGAAGCATTGCTTTTACCTTCTGTGATATTTATCACAGACTTAGTTCTTCCTTCTTCTTTCTGTATGATTTTATGATCTAGAAAGTTATTTGGAACTTAGAGCTCAGATATTAGGAAAAAGGCAGGAAAACTTAGACCACAAAATCTCTACCCTCATGTGCATCAGGGTGCTTCCAGCCAATTTTTGGCACACATAGGCACACACACTGAGATACTAATGAGCCAGGGTGCTCTTTCCAGCACAACCCTAACTGTCAGTCTAGGGGCCTGCTGACCCTGAGGAACAGGTTAGAAGCTGCAGATTGCAAGAGAGTTCACTGATGTCCACAATGGTTTGATGCTGAATTTGCCCATCATTATAAATTACATAAAGGTGTCAACAGAGCTATCCTTCAAAAGAACATCAAACCTCTATTCCCCAATTAGAAGGAAATTTCTCCTGATCAGCCAGCCACTCTAGAGAATGCTCTCCTTTTTTCATTTCTAACACCATCACCCTTCACCCCCACCACTGGAGTAAAGGAGCATGATAGCTCATCCTCGGCATGGGCATTTCTCAGCTCATGACAGCACACATGGCCAATAGGGTATGAAAGGACCTATTACTTCCACAATTGAGGTCTCTGGAGAGAGACTGACTCAGTCATCTCCAGCAGGCATGAAATCGCTTGAGAGAGGGGGGAAAAAATTCATGGACTTGTTTTTTGAGGTTAGAAGTGCACTAGGGTGAGAGTTCACACACATGGGCAGGAGTTTGCATGGATTCAATCTCTTGCAACTACAAGGAAGGGGCACTATGGGTTTTCTTATCACCTTTTATAGAAGTGGGGCATAAGGGGAAGGAGGAAGGATGTGGCTGAAAAGAACATGAAAAAAATCACTGAGATTTTCCTAAAATTGTGAGAGACAGCAAAACTGTCACCCCAGGGAGCTCACATAATACTAAATATGACAACCAAATATCTCATATTCAAATTAGGCAAAAATCAAAGAAAAACAGAATATATTGAAAAAAATCAGAGGGGAAAATGCCTTACTATGAAACAAAGATAAAAATTAAATCAAATTTCTTTTCTGAAATCATTCAAGTAAAAATAGACTGAAGTAAAATAGTTTTTTCTAAAACACTACTCCAGGATTCTGTGTCAAACAAAATTACCCTTCAAGAATAAAGGAAAATAAGGTCTTTGATGACAAAAATTGAGGTAATTTGTCATGAGTACACCAACTTTGAAAAAAATTATATTCACCAGAAAGAATATGATAAATTTTAAAAAAGAATAAATTGAGATACAATTAATATCCTTTGCATTTCTTATCATAATTACTATAACATGACAAGTTCATTTAAAATAATATAGATTTAAACTTAAAATGATAATGAAGAGGTCCTTTCTCCAAGAAGGCATAGCAATCTTCAAGTGTATGTGCATAACAACAGAGAAGTAAAATACAGGGGGCAAAACTGATAGAATGCAAGGAGAAATGGAAAACTCCACACTGTAGCTGCAGATTTCAGCAACCCATATCATGAATAATAAATTCGAACAGGCGTAAAAACACCAAGGACAGAGATAAACTCAACAGCTCCATGTAACAACTGGATTTAATTGTAATTTAAAAAATACTTCATGCAATAAGAGCAGAACACACATTTTTCTCAAGTTCCCATGGAACGACAAAACATATTCTGATACATAAAATACACCTTAACAAATCTGAAAGAACAGAAATTACACAAAATATGCTCTCACATCACAGGCATTAATTTAGAAATCACTAACAGGACAATAGTTGAGAAGCCCCCAAATATGTGACTATTTAACACACAAGTTCTCAGTAACACATGAAATCAAAGAACTCTCAAGAGAAAAAGAAATATTTTGAACTACATGAAATAAAAGTAAAACTTATCAAAGGTTGTGGGCTGCAGCAACAGCAATGCCCAAAGGGTAATTTATGACATCAAACACTAGAGAGAAAAAAAGCTATACTTATTAACATAAGCATCCAATTACAAACAGTAAAAAGAACTATTAAATCCAAAGTAAGCATTTGAAATTAAGGAGGGGATATAAGGAAGATCACATGAGGGTAGGATAAAGCAAGGAAGGGATTGGATTATAGGATAACTAACAAGATCATGTGCTCTCTTGAGGAGTATTACTTCTGGCATTTCAAAGGCACAGTGTTAACCTAGATGCACAAGAACAATGGACAGGGCTGGTGTAAAACCTTTCACTAAAAAAGTTAAAGGCCTGAGGTGTGACCACCCACCATGACCTGCCTGATTAGGAATTTGTGAACAGATTACCTTGTGAGGTTACTTGCCCTAGACACCACCCCTCTTTTTTGCCCACAACTCAAAAGAAAAGCAAAACAAACTTCTGAAACTTACAGGACATTCTCAGGAAAAAAAGAGTGCAAGAACTCTATAAAAATGCAATACTGGAATGTCTAATTTTTTCAGAATTCACCTTTTGTGACTGGTTGGAACTATTTTATACTGTCTTTCAAGCTCTATTGATTAAATACATTTTATTCCCACTGGGGGGAAAAATGAGACAAACCAGTTAATAAAGGTTTTCAAGATGACAAACCCAAAGAGGGGCAGTGCTGGCAAAAGAGAAAACTCAGAAAATTTTCCAAAAAATGAGGAACCTCCACCCAAAGGCTTTCCCATACGATGTTTGTGCCCAGGGAAGGTCCTGGGGGAGAGGAACAGGGATTTCACACAACATATTTCAGGTAGTTATTCTAGGATTTTTTTCTCAGAAAATATTCACAGACAAATAAAATTTATATTTTTTTAAAAGAGAACATACCATTACTGTTAAAAAATATATAAACAATTAAAATATTGGGTCTGTTCAAAATGCACCCTGGACGACCAATAACTGATAATGACACCCTGATTCAAAGACGGCTATTTGCCTTCGGGAATGAGGAAAGGAAACTGGAAATTTGTGTGCGTCTTGCCAGCCCCAGAAAGAGCTAAACTGGGGTGACAGTGTCATGGACTTACTTGAGATCCTGCTCCCGAAACATCTGAAAAACTCGGGGAAAAGGAGCACTCCTGGGAAGGAAGGAGAAGCTGGGACGCCACAGACCGCAGCTGCTTTCACGTACAAGCCCAGAGACCAGGCCAGGTCAGACCCTCCCTGTGGTCACCGCACATTTTGGGAAATGCGGGGCTGCGAGCGCAGAGCTTCCCAGAGAGGCTGTGGGCCTGGGGCCAAAGTCACTCAGCACAGCGACTGGGCAAGACACCCGGGGGCGGCTGCCAGCTTAGCCCCCACGCTGTGTGCTGAAGGGGACCGAGGTCTGCAGACTCCGGATTTGGCGGTGGAAAGGCTGGTCCATCAGGGCCCCTCCCCATCTCTGACCCTGGCCCTCCGCTCACCATACCTAGGTTTCCCGGGTCTCCTAGGCCCTCCTAGACTCCCACGAACTTTGTAGATCACACAGTAGCACCGATGCTGTCACAGAGCCACCGGGGACCATTAAGGGAAGGGGACAGTTCTGACGTCCAGTCTGTGAGGTATGTAGCCCCACCCACCTGCCCCAGCAGTGCCCCTGATTGGACAGCAGCCCCCTTTCTGCCTGATTGACAGCTGGCGTGAGGACCGGAGACCCGAAGGAAACTCTAAACTACTTCACGGTGAAACTACAGACTCCTCAATAGTCTGGGCATGAATGTGGGCTTAGGTAGGAAACCTGACAAGCTCAGTAACCGAAAGCAACCTCACAGGACGATCAGATCACAGAGGGCAGTCGCTTCTCAGGCCTATAACTTCATTAAAAATTTTTTAAAATATTTTATTTTATTTTTCCATCACCATTTATCCCCCTTAGGCCCTACTGCACCTCCACCACCACCAGCATCCCGCAATCACCACACTATTAGGCCTGTAACTTCTTTCCTACAAGGTTTATTTTTGCCTTAAGCAAGCCTTGTCCATGGTTTTTGTGCATTGAAGTTAACACACCTTTGAAATACCAAATTAATCCTTTCCTCCAGACCCCCTCACAGAAGCACATGAGTTTATTGCCTGTATATTATTCCAAAGTAATGTGCTTTTTATCCAATCATAAAAATTTCCCACGTCTTTTCCTCACCTTTTTAATCTACTACCAATGGATTTCATGCGATATTTTTTACTTTTTCTCTTTTGATTTCCCAATGCATAAAAAGAACTGCAAAACTTGCCCTGTCCAGAGCATTTTCTCAGACCCTTGAAATCACGCTTCCAGACATGTCCTTGGTTTGGCTCAAATAAAATCTAATAAATGCTTATTAAATTTTCCATAGGTTTGGATATTTTAGTGTTGACAAACTCATGGATAAAAGAAGAACTCTCAAGAGCAATTAAGATTATTTTGTAATAAATTGACATGAAAATACAAATTGCCAAAAGTTGTGGGGTGTAGCAAAAACAGTCCCTATGAGGCAGGATATTAAGAAGTAGGAAAA